ACCAGTCTTGGGCATAAGGGTAAACAATGACAAAAGAATGCTTTTGTCACAGCTCATTTGAATAGCTTGAGAGTTGGTTTTTAAGACTGAATGACTAGTGATGGACTTGAATACAACACTGTTAAAACCTACTGTTCATGCACATGTTGACAAACAATGAACTTACAAATCTTACATTAATCTATGTGCAAACTGTGTCCCTGAGCCAAATTTTTAATCTAGGGTTGAGTAAACATGAAAGATAGAACACCCTTGTTTTCTCTCTCTGTGCATAACATTTCTTTTTTTCCCATCGCAGTGAATACCCGTGGAAACTTAAGCCACCTCAGAACTCCCACGGATTACCGAACCTGCCAACGTGCACTGCACAGCGGTTAATCAAGCAAAGCCACACAGACAAAGATAACAAGAAAGGGAAAAACTCCAGTACATGTTTCTTTTGCCGTTCATTAAATCTTTCATTTCGTGGGCTCCTTTTGCTTGGCTGACCATGATCATCAAACGATTCACCCAACTGATCTTTTAGAAAATACAAACCTGACAAAAGTACATGTTCTCTAAAAAGTAAACATGATCTTTGCTAAAATCCCCTAAAACTCTTCTATGTTCAATAAAACTGCTCCTTTGGAAATTATCAACAAAGGATGCCACTCCCCCGCAGGTGTTTTTTTGCTGCCGTCACTGTCCGTCGGCCCTGACTCTTCATACTTAGGCTGCATCCAAATCTCGTCTGGAGCTAGGTCTAGGTTTATGCTCAATTGGAAATACGCAGGGAGACGCTAACAGTAGCTGTACCTCTCTAAGCCTGTTTCGTGAACAGCGTTAAACTAGCAAACTTTCATGGGTGCCGAATCCCGTGCAAAGTAACAGTGGCTGAAGAAGTCCCTCCCTGTGACAGGTATTCAATGACAGGTGGACAGTCATTCCAGGGGTAAGTTGACAAGTGGCATGACAATCAGGGGTAATACCCAGTCCCTCAAGTACAAGAGTGTGCAGGGGTTTGTAAACCAATGATGGCAAAGGAAACTCGGCATCGAGTCTTGAGCGCCCAATTGAGTGCCACGGTGAGTGACAAACCATGGGTTATTTACCTTCTTGCTTGCCACCGGACCACGGAGAGGAGTAGCTGAATAAAGAATAGCCTGATGACGTGCCCAGAGTGCTGTCTTCAAGGCTGCTCTTTCTCTCTGAAGAGTCCGGGAACAGACTGTTCCTGTTAACCAATCAGAAGAAAATGATACATACATCAAAAATTTACAGTCGGGTATAGTAGTTTTTTTTTTAAAGCCAGGATGAATGAATGAATGAATGAGAGTGAGAGAGAGAGAGACAGACAGACAGACAGACAGATAGATTTCTCATAAATAAAAAAATATATCTGACTAAACAAGAGACTTCTCTTCCTTGTTAAATTTACGGTTACTTTTCTTCTCTTTGGAGTCTGACAACAGGAGAAGCCAATAGGATAATGAGAAGCTGGAGCAATTACCCCTTATAAGTGTATTACAGTTAACAAACCTCAATTAACACATTGTCTACTGCAGGAACATAAAATGTCAGATAATTAGGCAGGTACATGTATCTAATGACCAGAAGAAAAGATCCACAGCATAAAACGTAGCATATTACTGATACATTACAAATTTCTTATGGGTGTATTGCTCGCATGAAGGGTTTGTGAACCCTCCGTCACTGTGTGGAGGGGGGGAGGAGGGAGCGGGACAGGGGGGGGGTTGAAGCTAGCAGCTGGTTACATGTTGTGACCTTGAGCAAGCCACTTTACCCCAGCTGGCCTCTCTCTCAATCTAGGAGTATAATGGGTACATTGCGGGTTGAGCCCTGGTGTGCCCTGATACCAGACGCTCAAGTTGGTCTTGTGGCCTGATGAGCGGGGCTAATTGTAATTAGCACTATGAACAGGTGCATATTTGTTCCTAATGCATGCACGTTGTTTATCATTACTGTAAACTCCAACCCGCATCTGTTGCATCATCTGATGCTGAGTTTTTACACAAAGAGCCGTAAACAGCCCGGGGGTATTTACACAAACTTTCCCTGGCTCTTTTCAGAATTTGCTTTAGCCTCCACTAATGCCACGGCCAAGGCTGGAAGGGGGAGAGAGGGAGGAGGTATCAGATGATTCCTCTCCCCAAGCTCCGATTGAATAAGAGATCCCGGAACCGTCCATGATACAAAAAGCTTGTGTAATTTTCAAAACGGTCATGGCTGGTCGGCCAACCGTGAACCAATGCTGGGCTTGGCATTTGTTGAGTACGGGACGGGATTTCAAAGGGGCAACTGGAAAAGAGACAGATCGGGAGAAAAAAAATTTATGGTTGTAGATTTACAGCAAAAACAACATGGCACACGCAGATGGGTTCAATGGCTCTTCACGGTGACCTGCAGTTTTCATTTAATTTCTGAAGTGGGAAAGGGTAATATAATAGCGGGAGGCCTTGTGGAAGTGTTAGGGTCAGTAGATGGTATCCCAGGAAAGACCGGGTAGAATTTTACAGACAAATGCAGCTCTGTGGAACAGAGGGGAGTTGATCAATTCATTATTGGATCGGTCTGTTTTTCTCATTAATCAGGCGTGAGAAAGTGATTTTTCCTTCAATTCTGTACTATGGAGAATATTCACAATTTCGGTTGCTTTACTTCAATAACCCGAACCACACCAATGTCCTAAATCCAACAAAGATACTGTGTAATTCTATGATTTGATTTACACTCAACCTCAGGGCCACATCTTCACCAAGTGTGAATGCCTCTTATGTCCATTAATAGCAATAAAAGTACATGTATATGCTCAGCCAATATAGCGGCTATTAAGCCAAACACCTGCTGAGAACCAGCCACTCATCCCACAGGCAACATCTGACATTTTAGCCGGTAACCACTTTCTGCTGAGCAAATATTGTCTGTGTGTAAGCGAACTTCTGCACATAGCACAGCATCCCCCCCTCGACACTCTGCTTTATGACAGCTGCTTCAGAGCATTCCTGAATGGGCAAGAAATGTGGCATTATGCTTTTTTCCAGCTTGGAAGAACCATATGCTACACAACTCCCGACACAGCGAAGATCTATGGGCCTCGAGCTGGACCACAAAAGGGCGCTATTTTCTGACCAACAAAAGCTCCTTTGGTCGGGACAGACTTTGGCTGTTTCACAAACGACTAGGAAATGTAGGCGTCAGGGTTGCATCATTACCAACACACTGAACACTCCCCCGCCAACATGGCTCTTTCCAACTGATGAGGGGGTGCTTCTGCTCGAGGTAGATACACCCGATGGCGACAAAGAATCTTAGGGTGGGGGGGTGGGGGTACACACAGGTACACATGGGCCAGGAACAACTCGGAGTACATGTACTACATGTACGTGCCATCTATCACAGCACTTGTCTCTGCCTAAACTCAAATATTGGCTTTGTGGTAGCATAATTGCAGTATGCATGGTAAAGTGGGTAAGTTCAGTACCCAGTCTTTGGGATGGCGCCTCCTTGTACATGTACCAGACCATTGATCCAGAGGTAATTATTTACTTCCACAGTCAGTGATTCTTGCAAAATTTTACCCATCAACAAACAAACAAACAAACAAACAAACAAACAAACAAACAAACAAACAAACACCCCAACAAACAAACAAACAAACAAACAACCCCAACACCCCAACAAACAAACAAACAAACAAACAAACAAACAAAAGGTTGCTTTCACTGAGGACCATGGATATGCATGTATCCTGGAGCAGGATATCAAGCCACGACAGCCGTCATATGCCTGGAAACAGACTGGGCCTTTGTTTGAGCTATCGGACTCAGAGTGGACTGGTAAATGAGCTGTAGGACCCATTGAGCGCCCTACTCTCAAAGAGCCATTGAAGGATACACTGAGCACACAGTCTGGAATATGCAACTCATATTTTCAATAGAATGTGCACAAAAAGTAATGCCTTTTGCAGTGTTTACCACTGAAGGTGAATAGTTTTGTGGGAGTCAAAATGTCCGCGACAAACACATTTCCTGAGGTCCTCAAGACAACATTTTCTTTGGTATTCAGGAAACAGGCCTTTGCACATTAACTCATCGCCGGCAAAAACGACAACAGAAAACGCAGCAAAACTACGGCTACAAGCAATACATGTAGTTGCTGTACTTTGCTATTCACATCCAGCATCGTTCTCCTCTGCTCCTTTGTAATGGAGCAAGATTAAAATTGATCACACTGAATTGACCCAGAATGGACGCTAGCTCTCTTGCACGGCACACCTAAGGGTATAAACAGCCTTTCTGAATATCCCAAAATTGGAGATAAATTCCAAAAAGCAGCGTTCCACACGGGCAACGATGAGTGGTACCATCACAGTTTATAAAGAGCAACACCATCACGATTCACTTTGAGTCTTCCCCCCCCCTCCCAATTCGGACATTTTCGGAAATAAGTCTGTATTCACATGCACATGTATCTTACAATCTCCCTTCCACTGCCAAAACCTCCGTGGGGATACTCTGAGAATTTGGCTGTGCAATGGCATCCCCCCCACACTGTGATGTGAACTGCACCGTGTACACAGCACGGGAACGCATGCCCCCCCCGCCCTAATTTTTCTACCAAGCTGCCATTTTCAACCTTCCGTCACCCTGACAGAAAAAAAAAAAAAAATCCTGGTATCAGACTGCCGTATAAGATCGATACAAATGGCCCAAAGGTAGACAGAAGCGTCTATGGTCACCCAAATATTGCCCATTGATGCCTGTGCGGCATTCCTCCAACCCAACCCCATGAACAATTGAAACATTTCCAGAGTAAGATGGATGATGCGGATCTATTAAAGTTAATTCCAGTTAATTCCGACAGCTAAACTGCCTCCGCTAAAGAAATGTAGGAATAAAAGAGATGACTCGACAGGCCTGCACCTGGCCTGGATCGCATGAATGGCCAGGCCTTTGTAGCTTCCACTCTGTTTGCCCAATTCTTTCAGTGCCAAGGACACTGACAAAAAGGGGAAAAAAATACAAAATACAAAAGGGGAAAAATACAAATGACAAGCAGTGCAAAGGAGAGAAAAAAATGACTTCCCGGTACTTGCAATGGGTCTCTGTGACCCACCTCAAAGGTACTGAAGGGGGAATTATTTTGGTGATCAACTTTGCAGTTCAAGGTTGAAACTCAAGATTTTGTTTTTTTAACAGATTGCCGGTCGTTTTACATTTGATACATATTTAAAGGGCCACTCCCTCCACGCAGGGTTAGGTAGTTTTTGACCATCTGATGTTGTTGATTTTCAACATGTACATTTTTTGAATGAGTACACCCGTACTTGTTACCCTGGTCATTATGAGGACCAAAAACATTATGGGGACACATTTTGTCCTCACAACTGGTCATTACAAGGACCAAACCATTATGGGGACACATTTGTCCTCACAACTGGTCCTCTTGAGGACCAAAAACATTATGGGGACACATTTTTGTCCTCCCGACAAAATCTTGACTTTCATAACAAATGAAACTGCCCCTAAAAATGAAATGAAGGCCAACCTGTACGCACTTACGGCACACATTACACACCTGTTGAATGCTAGTTATTATAGGGACAACATTTTTTATGGGGACATGTGAAAGTCCCCACAATCCGGTCCAAAGTGTCCTTCAGTGTCCCTGCAATGTAGTACCAGCCAGGGGCAAGATTATGAACAGCTAGAGACAACGGACAAGAAGATACAGAAGATTTGGGTGCTTTTGCATTGAACGCAAATACTAGGAGCACTGTCACAAAGGGACTGTGTACCCAGTGAGATGAGTGAGCCAAACTGTAAACGGACATGCGAACAGAAACAAGGATGGAAAAGCCGACACATTTTAAAAAGAACATGAACCTCAGGGGCAAGAAAAAATAGAAAAAAAAATTTAAAAAAAATAAGGAGAAGAAACAAAAGCAAGAATGTTTATAAACAGGACTGTGACTGAACAGGACTGAAACTCAGTACAAAATGTAGAGTTGATGATGGGCGAGGACAAGGAAAAACGACGCATGCGACAATGTTAAATGGAATGAAAACAAGAACGCCATTCAGAATGTCAACAACTTTGGAAACAATAACCGAATAGAGAAACAACGCGCAAACATCCAACCACCAACAAAACCAAACCAAAACAGACAACCAACATCTGAGCTAACACTTCACAAGATGCTAAATGTCAAAC